TCCCTTTGCTTGTTTGTGGGAGGCAGTATTTATGATGATTAAGATATAGAGCTCACTGTTATTATGGCCTTACTGACTCACAATGTGCTTCCAGCGGGTTTCCAACTGTAAATCTTGCAGGAGCAGGCACCTCATCTTTTCCCCACAGAGTGCTAGTGGGTTTGAACGGCTAGCTCTACAGCTAGCAGTCCAGTGCTGCTCATTTAACTCTGTGACCGCTTGGATTCCTTGCCCTGGATCAGGCTCGTTTGGAGGATAGCATGTGAACTACCTAGAGAATGCCCCCGGCCTTTGTTTGCTTGCACACCCTGTCCTACCCTGCTACTTTCTGTCATTATTTCTTTTACCTTTGTAGCACTTATAACTAACAGGATTTTTCTTAAAAAGGACTTTTAATTGTGAATTTGGTCAAGGTTTACGAAGCATTTCAGTTTTCCATGAAACAAATTCGTGTGTGTGTGTGTGTGTGTATACACGAATACATATGTATATTCTTGCCATCAATCACACTCTCCACAAGGTGTTGTGCCACTTCTCCTATTTCTCCTTCTGTTTACTGTTTATATTCCTCCTATTTCCTAACCCTTATGAACTTTGTCCTTGGGTAAGGCCTATCCTATTGATCTCAAATGATTGATTATTCTAAGTTGTGCTTAGCCCCGTAATGTGATTGCTCCCCTTAGAGGCCTGCTTCTTGTTGGGTTAAGAAGCCCCAATGATCCGGTAGATTCGGTGGATTAGGTGTTGGGCTTGGGGATCAAGATGAAGCTGTCTGCTCTCATAAATCCTTAAAGTCTCAGAATCCCCACATGGGTCCCTCTGACTCAGAATTAGCTCAATGCAGGGGTTTAGTTTACTGTTTCGTTGAAAATGAGCCAGGGGGGTGAGTTCATTTCAGACTTAAAGGTGACTAAAACCATAGTCCACTAGCCTTTAACCAATCAGTAAGTTTTGTATTCTTTATGATTATAAGTTTTGTTGAACATTCTTCTCCCATTCTATCCAACAAATATGCTTTTATTCAGTTATTTGATAACTTTAAAAATGGTCTAAAGGCAAGCATGCTTTTTGCTTGGTTTGCTTTCGAGAGGGGCTTTCCTTTCTTTGAGAACCACAGATAACTAACTCAGTGTTTGCTGAGTGAACGATGCATCCATGGCACTTAGAAGGATCTCTGCAGTAGGACAGCTCAGTAAGTGTTCATTATCATTACTGTAGAAACCGGGGGAGTTTACAGTGAGAACGGAAGAGTAAATCGGATGTGCCTTTGTTCCTGAGGTTTTACAGGGTGCTCTGGGTGCCTACCCTCTGCTCAGGATCTTACCGAACCCTGATTCAGTGGTACTCATGACCTCGCTCAAGAATTCGGTTTGGGGCATGGAGGCACCTTACATTCCAGGGTTTCCCAGCCGGGCTCACATTCTGAAGCTCCTTTCCTTGATCAATAGCATCTGAACTTACCCCACTGCTCATCAGTAACTCTGGACCAGCCTTGCCCCTCGCTGATCCCCACCGCATTCCGATCCTACTTCCCAGCAGCCAAACATATCCCTCTTTCTGCCGTTTCATAGTTCAGATGATCCTTGCCTTTCTTTTCAGGTGGTTACACGATAGCTATATATAGCGACAGATTCCCGGTGGCACATGATTAAGAACTCAGCTCTTCACTGAAAAGTCAGTGGTTTGAACCCACCTTTGGCTCCGTGGAGAGAGGGGACCATCAGCCCCGGGAAAGTGAGCCGTCCGGGAAAGCTTGTGGTGCAGTTGCGCTCTGTCACATGGCTTCCGATGCGTGGAGGCGACTCCTGGCACACAGCAATAACGACGTGATGAACTTTCTTGGGGACTTCATATGCACTTGATATACGTACACAGATCCCCACTGCGCAAATGGTTAATGATATGGTCACTTTCATTGTCCCAGAAACCCCCCTTACAAGATTTAGAATGATCAAGCAGTTTGCTGAGTGTTGAATCCAGGATTTGAATTTAAATCTGTCTAATTCCAGAGCCAGCACTATTTTCCAAAATGTCCTAATTGCCCCAAGATCCTCTCATTTCAAGTCTTTGTTCCAAGTCATGTAACATTCCCCTTTCCTCTGAATGGCCTGAAAATGACCAGACTCCTCTCAAACCTCCTCTCTCCTCCTTTCAGATTCAGTGATGGGGCAGGGGACGTTTCCGCACTGCACTCTGTGTTCTGTACACATGGACAGCTTGGTCTTCATTATTTTATGCTTAATTAGTAGTTCACACATCTCTCTGCTAGACTGGGTTCCTTGAAGGCAGAAACCTCACCTAAGTAATCTTTGTATGTACAATATCTGCACTCAGTAGAAGCTGGACTGATTTCTATTAAAGGCATATTTCTATAAATGCTATTAATTGAGACATTTAACATATTTTCTTATTTTATAGTAATATTAATTTTTCTACTACAGCATATAATCAGCATTTTTGTGGTTTAAAAAAAATTAAATTCCCTCTCTACTTTCTATAAACTTTATTAGCAGTCTCTTTTCATTTGCCTCTCAGGTTCCCAAGTCTGTTTTGGTGCCTGGATCCCCCCGGCTAACTTACAAATCTTTGTTCCCTCAGCCTACACATTCTCCTATGCCTCGATGTCTGCCTCCAATTCTTTCAGGGTTTGCTTTCAGCTAGGCAACAGGTATTAGTAATGATGCTTCCTTTCTCACAATTTACATTTAGGTTTCATGTGTTACCTTCTAGCCCTGTGACCATTGGCAGGAAGGTCAGGCCCTTGATTGGGGAAAGATATTTTTGGCAGTGGTCTTATGATTGTATTCAGATCACACTTTGTTATGTCCCTGCAGAAAATGTTATGTATCAATTTTATGTAATCATTGTTCCAAAAATTGGTAAAAACAAAACAAATGAACAACAACAAAATAATCTTTACAGTTGATGAAAGTATCGTGTGACTGATGGATTATAAATAGGAAAGTGTTCATCTCTGCCAAAATATTTGACTCTGAAGGGCACAAGTCCTTGTGAGTCTTTTTTAGAAGTTAGACAATTTTTTTTAATTCAGAAAAATAAAGGGCTTATATCACTCATCTCCAATATGAAAATTCATGTGTTAATTTAGAAAAAATGTATTCAGGTTCTGATCTCAGAAGTAAATATGACAAGATGTTTTTAATGTATGAGTTTCAAAGTACTGTTAATAATAAGGGAACCTGAGTCCCACATTGATGAATTCCTCCCAGTACATAGGAAATTTCCCAAGGTCACTGGCCACCCTGGAATGCACTAGGCTATTAACAAGGAGACATGGCTGAAACACAGAGATTATAAAATCACAAACTTCCTCCGTGCAAAGAATTTAACCATGCCAGGACATAAACTAGCCTATGCCCTTGTTTCCTGACAAGACAACTTTGGCATTTCCTGAGTAACCGAGGTATTCAGATCACAAGTGGGCCTGGGGAGCTAACAAGCATGCTAGGTTAAGATTCTCCAAAGACACTGCTACCGTCCGTAGACAACAGTTCACACTGCACCTGGCCTTTGCTCCCTTTGGTTTATAAACGGGCTGGCTTTAACAGATTCGCGGTTGCCGCATCCTTCTGAGTTGACTTTTCTACCTTGCGTTTGGTGGCTGAGCAGATCTCCTCGGAAACCACTGCGTTGATTGCCCTTCCCCCCCCCAAAATATGCGTAAGAACGAGGCATATTAGATGGCATAGTAGATTATACAATCATCAGCTCTTCCTCAGGAGAAATATTTGAGTTTTTAAAATTTGAATTAAAAAATAACTTTTTTTTACACTGCCATGTAAAGATGTAAAATCTCCCATCTCAATCCATACATTCCCCCATTGTGTCAAGCACATTTGTACATATGCTGCCATCATCATTTTCAAAGCATTTTCTTTCTACTTGAACCCTTGATATCAGCTCCCTGATGAATGCTTGATAAGTAAAATTTGAATTTTTACCTATATGACTGATAGAAAAGTTGTGCTTTAATTTCTTCTTTGTATTCTCTAAAATATTTTAAATGTAAAAAAGTAGATCAACTTTTATATTTATAAATATATTGAACTTTTGAATACACTTGTTGAATTTGGGATGCTTTTAATCCAACTTTAATGTGACAGTGCATTAGCATTTTATTAAATTGTCTACATTTTCCACAAAAACTATGGAAAATAAAGCTATTACATATTTTCACTGCCATATAATGCTAATGTTAGGCCTTTAGAAATTTCTGCTGGAAAGTATTCTTTTTTATTATGTCTCTGAAATATAAGTACTTAAAATTTAATTCATTTTCAGCTTTATTGATTATCAGAACCATGATAAATTCATATTATGAGAAAAAATACCAAAATGCAAGAACCAACTATTTTACCCCTTAAAGTAATTTAATTGTAAGAACATAAACAGGAAAGTTCATGCATTTTTAGTAGTTTAAAGCTGTAAAGAATATATAGGGAATGTAGTTGTCACACAGATGTTCAGCTACAGGCAATAGTGGTAACATTTACAGATAAAGTATTTCTCAAGAACACATCTTTTTTATATTGTTCAAGATGTAATTCAAGATGATTTTGCTATGAAAGCAAGCTGGCCTATTAATCAAAGTCATTAAAAACACTCCATGGAATACATTCGTGCTAGCAACACAATTCATGTAATCAGAATTTTTGAAGAAATGATCAGTACATCATAACAGCAAATTTTCAATAATAAGAAAACATCCATTAGTATACTAGTATAGTAAAAGCCTTATAATATTGCTCTCATGAAGAATGACTCTTCTTTTTTTATTCTTCAACTGATGTACCCAGCCTTTAAAGCTGTTACTTATAAGACTTCATCCCTTTTGAGATCTATGTCTTTTGGGGAAGAGAAATCAACTAACATTTTGGCTTACTGTATTTTATTCTCACTTAAATTCTGATTTTTCTCATTAAAAGACAAAATACAATACTTTCAATATGTTATCTTGAATGTAAGCTTTCCAGTTGTAGTCATGAATTGTTGTTAGACTGAATAGTCTTCAAAAGTTTTTGGTACATTTCTGACTTCAGAAACCTGGGATAGGAATCCCTTTCCATATGCATATACACTATTTTTTGAGCTTCTTCGAAACATGTCTGAGTGGGTTCTTGAATATTCTTGATGATAGTTTCTCTTGTAGAGCTGTCAATATTAATCTGAAAAGTGAAATTGCAGAACCTAAGTAGGCATAACGGAAATACATAAAAATACATACAACTGAAATACAAAAAAATACATAAAAATGAAATTTAAAAAAGAATGGAGAGTTTTATTTCCCCCCGCTTTTCAGTAAGGGACTCCCGTGCCCCAGTGGTCACGTCCCGTGGAAGAAAGACGTGGTGGTCTGTTTTGGTAGAGTACAGCCTTCGGCCCACTACGGGCCCCTTTCAGTCAGCCCTGCAGGCTGCTCCGTGTCAGAATTGACTTGGCAGCAAGAGCTTTGTTTGGGGTTTTTTTGGTTCCTTTTCAGTGGAAGAGGCTAATTTGTCTGCAGTTTCATAGATATATAAAAAGATTTATAAAAGTGCTACTCTTTGCTTTTCTTAATAGTAAACATCTACCTCTCATAGAGGGGGAAAAAACCTCACTGGCCGCAAGACCAAGGAAGTCTCAGGAACCATTGCTTACTCAACAGGACACAGGGATTTGCTAGCAGCAATTCACAAACAAGGAAGTTTATGAGTTTTAAGGGAAAGGGACACTGATGCTATTTAAAATTTGTCTTTCTTGATCATCACATATACTAATTTAATTGCATATTCCATGAAATGGGACAAAAGTGAAGAGAACAAGAGAAATAGAGAAGTGGTTATTTAAATAACCCAAATGTCTTCCAGACAAGAGTTTTGAGGAAGAAGTCAATCATATAGGATTGTCCTGAGAGATCAGAATTTCATCTGTTGTGCTCTATCCTTATCCCTACAAAATAAATTTCAAATCTATCCTCTCTCCCCCAAGAAGACTCTCAGTGCCACTGCTTGACTCCTGACTGGTTTCACGAGGCTGCTCTAAATGATCGTTAATTATACCAATGATAACGCTTGCTAGCTCTGTCAGTTTTAAATTAAGATGAAGAGAGCACAGTGGTCTGGTATAGACTTTACTCAACATTATTGCTAATGTCAACATGCAGATGTTTTACATTTGTCGTTTCTTCTGGAAAGAGCAACTCTTCTTTCAAGAACTTAGTCTTCTGTTCTTTTTCTTAAACCTCTCTTGGGAATCAGATCATTTAATGGGGAGAGACTTTGTAACTGGACTGTGGCAGTTAGATTCTAGGTCAACTTGCACTTGTGTAGGGGTGTCAATCAGGTCACTGCCTGATGATGCCTCCTGGGAGATGGGGCCTCTTATAAAAGAGACACTGGAAACGTGCTTCCTCGCTCTCTCTTGCCCCTCAAGTCCTTGCTTGCTGGGCTCTGTGTCTGCCTCCAGGGGCAGCTCCTGGGGGTTGCACAGCCCTGAGGATTGTTGGCTTCCTGCCCCGTGTCCACTGATCTTGGATTCAAGTAACTCTGCACCCACCGGCCTGTGATCTTCCTGCATCCTGCTTCCCTCTCCTGCACCTTTAGCCTGCAGCTACGTGAGTCTGAAGAAGGCTCCATTTAGGTTCAGACCCATGGATATAAGATGGACTAACCCAGGAAGCCTCCTTGATATATGATTACTTTTTTACATAAAGCTCTTTCGTATACATATATGAGTATCACTGGTTTTGTTTCTCTGGATGACCCAGCCTGACACATACACAAATCTATACTTTAACTTAATAAGGTATCACATTTAACTGCTGTGTGATACCAAAACATATACCAAACCTACTGCCATGGACTCAGTTACAACTTCTAGAGACCTTATAGGATGGAGTAGAACTGCCGCCTGTGGGTTTCTGAGTCCTGTAAGTCTTTACGATAGCAGGGTGTCTCATCTTTCTCCCACAGAGAAGCTGGTGGATTTGAACTGATGAACTTACAGTTAGGTAAGGCCAGGTAACCGATGATCTAACAATGCATACTTCACTATGCCACCAGGGCTCCTTTGTGAGATATTGGACAACTTTATTATTTTCTGAGCTCCTCAGCTTTGTGATCTTCAAAGTAAGTTAACCTATGTCCTGACCGTGCAGTGGTTAAGCACTCAGCTGCTAACTAACAGGCTGTTGATTTGAACCCGCTAGCTGCTTTGCAAGAGAGCTGTGGCAGTCTGCTTCTGTGAAGGTTTCTAGATTTGATAGCCCTATTTAAAAAACCAAAAGAGAAAAACTCATTGCCATCGAGTAAATTCTGACTTACGGTGACCCAACAAACCAAACTCACTGTCGTGAGTCAACACTGATTTATCAAGGATCCCCCAGTGGGTTTCAGAGATGATAACTGTTTACCAGAGTAGAAAGCCCAGTCCTTTTCCTGCAGAGCTGTTAGTGGTTTCGAACTGTCAACCGTGTGGATCACAGCATAAGCATAACCATTGGATAGGGTATACCTGCCTCTGTGAGCTTCTGAGACTGTAATAGAGCAATTTGATTCTGTTCTGTAGGGTTGTGATGACTGTAAATTGTCTTGACAGCAATGGGTTGGGCTTTTTGATACACTGACACGATAGTTTTATAGAGATAAGGAGTATAAAGTGGCTGGTATCTAATGGGTGCTTGACAGAGAGCAGTGCCCTCCTGGGGATGCCCTCGTTTTCACCTGCGATCACTGTCAAGTTACCTCTCTAGGGGACTGTGGCTGGATGTAAATCTTATAAAGCTTCTTTGCCATGGAAATCCTGCTCCTCCGGGAGGCAATTTTCTTATAGGTCTCACACGCCATCCAGAATTTAATGTTCTCGTCACTGTGCTCCATTTTTAAATGTGCTGCATAGACTACTGGACCATCTAAAAGGAATGAAGAAATCAATTTATTTTCATAGGTCAAAATGATTTTTAAAATGTGCAACATTTTACGCAGTTTAAATCAAAAGTCTGACTCAAAGCTCTGAAATCATTTATTAGCAGATATAGTATGATAATATTATATACACACTAAGGCATACATCTGAACCATGCTTTGATAGCACTCGTCAGTGGGGAAGTCGCAGCTTTTTTCTGAGTTCCTCAGAGCCATATGGATGGGTATGGGATATACAGACAGAGCTCTGGGCACAACACTGATGTGAAAAATCTCAGATCACATTACATGTAAGAGAAGTGTCTGGAATCTAAGCAGGCAGGTAAAGATTCGAAGTCAAATATCCAAATCAGGTAGAAGCCGTACATTGATCAGCTTGTACAGACTGGAATGTTTTTAAAAAGCCAAACAAAGCACAACATAGATGAAAGATTCATTTTCATATTCATAGTTTATGGTTCAAACTAGAAATGAGGCATCAGTCAAGAAATGGAATTCGGATGGGACGTTGGAAACGATTTCAGAAACCAGGAATAGGGTGGCGAGAATGCTCCGCATAGGTATCAAATGATACTCGAAGGCAGCATGGCTCCTCCAGCTCTGACAATAAACAGCCTGTCCCTTGTGGGTAGGTAGGGGAGATGGACACAAAGGGATTTTCCTATCGAGGCACACTGTTTTGTAGGCACTAATGTTTTAGACCCTCGTGGCGTAGCGGTGACGTGTGGGGCTGCGACCTGCAGGCTCTGCAGTTCCGAAACTCGAGCTGCTCCCAGGTAGAGCAGACGGGCCCTCTGATCCCGTGAACGGTAACGGTGCGGACTATTCATCAGGGCACTCCTACCCTGTCCTTGCAGGTCACTATGAGTCGGCATCAACTCGGTGGCACAAAGTGGGAATGTTAGAGAAAAGCGGGCTCTTTTAGAGTTACAGCCTTGGAAACGCTAGTCCGAACCAATGGCCTACGTTTGTTTGCTTCTTAATGTTTTTAGAAGGAGCCGTGGTGGCACAATGATTAAGCGCCAGGTTGCTCATCAATAGGTTGACAGTTTGGACATACCTGTGGCTCCTCAGGAGGAACCTGTGGTGATCTGTTTCCATGGAGATTGCAGCTTTGGAAACCCTAGTGGACAGTTTCACTGGCTGACCTGGACAATGTCAGGGGTCTGGTTTTGTGTTGGTAGGATAATTAGGTAACTCTCACAAATCTAAGAAGTTGACCAGAACCTTGTGGAAAGCCAGGTTGCTCAAGATCCAAAACAAGCCCTTTGAGAGGCGTATTACATTTTTTTTGGTCAAGAGGAAATTTCTTGGCACATGTGAGAAGCTGAATGGATAATGATAAAATAATGCACCCTTCACTTGATGATAACACAAGTGTGCACATAGGTGCACTGAACTCGTGATTACTTAGAGACTGAATATCTGCAATATCGTGGTCAGCGTGATTAGTTTTATTAGAAATAATGATAAGCATAGAGAATGGCAACAGCAAAGTAAGCCCTATTTTCAAGAATCTTCACACAAGAGATTAGGTTGTGTTTCTGAGCACAAGAATGTTAGGCATCTTGTGTGGCCTCTATCATTAGTGCTATAGAAATCATCACTAAAAACTGTCATCAAGTCAATTCTGACTCATGGCAACCTAATGAACACAGTAGAACTGTTCTGTTCTGAGACTGTAACTCTTTACATGGGTAGAAAAGCCTTAGCTTTTACAAGACTGTAAATCTTTAGAGATAGAAAGCCTCATCTTTCTCCTCCAGAGTGGGTTTTGATCTCTTGACTTTGTAGTTAGCAGATCAACATGACAACCACTATGTTATTTTACTAAGAATCAACAAAGTTCTTTTATGTTCAGGAAAGAATTCAAATGAAGGTAACATCTGCTTAAGGAAACTAGAGTTTGGGAAAGGCGGACAAGCTGCAGGTTCTATACTCTCTTAGAAAAATACAACATTACAGCATGGATTGCTGTTTTCAAGGAAGCAAGTGTAGTCTTCATGGCATTGAGTGGGAGATTGAGGTAGTTAGTTTATTGTGCCAACCTGGCCGATAAACACATGTGGGATTAATTGAAGGGAGGAGGGATAAATGGCTCTGCGAGCCTTGCCTTTCTTGTCTCTTGCTCTTTGATCATCGGACCAGTGTGCAGCTGCCTTGCTTGTTCTTTGCCTCAATTTGCAAGCTACACTACCTGTGGGACACCTAACCTATGGACTGTGTCACTGTAATTTGAGGTTCCTTCAAGACCTGCTTCGCTACACCATTGGAATTTACAACTCTTGAGCTGGGGACTGTCGGACCCTGTCATCTGACTGACTGTTGGTGACCTGCCTTGCTGTTTGCTGCCTGTGCCTGAATAGCCTGAGTTGCTCTACAGCGGACTACCCAGTGACCCTCAAGACTTGAAGGACTGCCAGTGTCTCAACTGTCTCACGGGAGTGAGTTGCACTGAGCCATTTGTACTGCTTTATAATTTAAGTAACTGTTTGTTTCTTGTGTTATATATCTATCTGTATAAATATATATAAAATTATTAGCGTTCTGGTTTTGTTTCTCTAGAGAACCCTGTCTAACACAGAGATGGTACAAGACGAACATCTATCTGCTGGGGGACTACATGGGAGGTAAAGGGGGTACAGAATTGTAAATTAAGAAACCCGATGGACTAGAAACATTCCTGCTTAAAGGAAGAATGTGTTTTAACTTAGATTTCTTTTCTTTAAAAAAATTTTTAAATCATTTTATCGGAGGCTCGTACAACTCTTATCACAATCCATACCTCCATCCATTGTGTCAAGCACATTTGTACCTTTGTTGCCATCATCATTCTCAAAACATTTGCTTTCTACTTGAGCCCTCGGTATCAGCTCCTCATTTTCCCCCTCCTCCCTCCACCTTCCCTCCCTCATGAACCCTCAATAATTTATAAATTATTATTTTTTCGTGTCTTATGCTGACCGATGTCTCCCTTCTCCCACTTTTCTGTTGTCTGTCCCCCGGGGTGGGGGTTATATGTAGACCCTTGTGAGCAGTTCCCCCTTTCTCCCCACACCTTCCACCTTAACTTAGATTTCAATCAAGAAGTTTATTTTCACACTAAACGGATTTCAGTATGCACCTCACATCATCATAGGTACAAAAAGATGGCAGCAGAGAATGCAGATATAATAGTTGGTGTTTTTTAAAAGAAATAGCTGAGTGGGGAGGCAAACAAACCAAATAAGTAAGTAAAACGAGACTCAAATTCTGCTGTAACAAGTCAAGCTGGAAGCTCCCATTATGCAGTGTCTATCAAAAGAAACCTAGTACCTTAAAAAAGATAATATCGCTTCACTTTGAGAATTTTGAGTGCACAGCAGAAATTGAGAGAAAGAACCTTAAAATAAAGAAATGAGCTATGGAAAAGGACAAAAGATGAGACATTAGATACAATTTACAAATTGAGGTTGAGCCTCATTTCATTTTCACCAACTGCTAAGATGGATCAAGTGGTTGAATGTGTGGAATTAGGGAGAGAACCTGGAAAGCAATGCTCGATCCGGAGGTAAGGAATTCAGAATTCCTGTTTGTATTTATTAATCATAGATTAAAATGTTTATAGATTCCTACTCTAGATGGTAGTTCAATTTTTGACATGCTTACATCCTGACATAGTTAAGGTTTATTGTGCCAACCTGACCAATCAACACATGTGGGATTAATTGAAGGGTGGAGAGATAAATGGCTCGGTGAGCCTCACCTTTCTAGTTCTCAGGTCTCTTGCTTTCTGATCGTCGGACCAGGGTGCAGCTGCCTTAGCCAGTTTCCTGCTTCAGCTTGCAAGGCTCACTTCCTGCAAGACATCCCCGAGGAGAAGCCACATGGACCTACCCCGATGCAGCCCTGGGTGCTGGAGCAACCGTGTAGAGACCCCTGCCAGCGCTGAGATGCTTACATGTTCAATGATTTGGCTTTCCTCCTGCAGTCAGCATCTCTGCATGCATTTTATGAGCTGGAGGAGGACTTTGTTCATTGGAGTCAGACATATGGGCTAATGTTGGACTTGTGGGTTTGGGCAGCACTGGGTTGGGATGTTTTCTTGATGCGCACTTACCCTTTATATAAAACTCTCTCTTATACATATGCGTTTCTGTGGATTTGTTTCTCTAGCTTACTCTAACACATATCCTTTGCTAAAGAAGTCCTCTATGTGTTCTTATACCTAATTTTGTATAGGTACCTGCTGTTGTAGATTGCAGCGTTGCCTCTGTTATCCCCTGCCCTTGTTCCCTGTCCTACAGGGTGGCTATATGGCACCATCAATGCAATGGCAGAGAGGGAATGAGTCTGGTAGAAAGATTATATTTCCATGACATATTGGCCTGGCCATTATACTTGCTTTAGCCAATCATATGCATGCAATAGTATCACACTGAGGTTCAAGCAGGAGGTTTAAGAACCACACGTGTTTCTGCCACCACTGCACCCCTGCTTTGCCAATCACATGAAGGCCAGAATTAAGACATATCAAGAGCTGTAGTTGATCCCACTTGTCCTGTCACATGAGAAAGAAGTAACCTTTATTGCTAAAAATCACTGTGAGTTTAATGTCATTTGTTACTATATCATAACTTGGAGAAAGCTGATGAGGATTGCTTGAACTTAAGCATGGTGCTGGTGTGAAGATTGAATAGACTCTGGTGATTTGTCTATGTCCTGAAAGGTTAAGTTTTGTGAGCATAGCACAAATCACTCAATGAAGTAGTTGAAGCTGCAGTTGTGGAAAAGGCTTCCAGGAATCTTCATCATTCCTAAATCTAGAGCTGGATGGCTCACGTTAGACTTTCTGTTGATTTATAGAACACGTGACTCAGAGGCAGAGAAGCCCTTTTCCAAATCAGGCCACGTAGGCAAGGGAGCCTCTCCTGAAGTTTAAATGGTACTAGTTTCTGAATGTTCAAGTTCAAGAGAGTGATTTTACTGGAGCAAAATGAATTGAGAT